GAATACAGAAAACAGATTTGTGTTTTTTAGAAAGGAAGGAAGGAAGAAAAATAGCAAGGCAAAGAAAGTGTACTTTCTTCCCATTAATTCCTGTCCAGATCCCATGAAGAAATGATTGCTAATCACATTTTCTCACCTAATAAGAAAACTAGCATAAAGTAAAATAAAATGACATTTAAACTACAATTAAGAGATACAAATTTCATGGCCCTTTCACACTACACATTTATAACACTATGATTCCACTTACGGTAAAAGTTTCCCCTTGACATGAAATCTAGTTTATACCTGACTCTGGAGAGTAGTGCCCATCTCTATTTCTAAGCCAAAGAGACAGCGTTGTCTGTAGATGCCTCCAAGGTCATGTAGCCAGCATGACTGCATGGAGCACCGTGACCTTCCCATTGGAGCAGTGCCTATTGATCTACTCACATTTGCATGTTTTCAAACTACAAGGCAGAAGCTGGGGCTAAAAGTGGGAGCTCACCCCACTCTCTGGATTTAAACCACTGACCTTTCAGTCAGCAAGTTCAGCAACTCAGCGGTTTAATCCACTGCACCACTGGGGACTCCATGATTCCACTTACGCTGGCAATATCCTATGGAATCCAGAGATTTGCAGTTTAGGGGGTTATTCAGAATTTCAGCTAAGGCACTATAGTGCCCTCCTAAATGACAAACCCTGGGATTGCATAGAATGTTGTCCTTCCCCTGTTTCTGAGTATTGTTCTTCATTTACTGTTTTGATTTTATTAGAATTTTAAAAACTCTAAACTCAAGGCCATGTTGTCATGGCTGTAAAAGTGGACTCACAGCACTCTAACAATGGCTTCAAACTACAAGAAAGGAGATTCCATCTGAACATTAGGAAGAACTTCCTGACTGTGAGAGCTGTTCAGCAGTGGAACTCTCTGCCCTGGAGTGTGGTGGAGGCTCCTTCTTTGGAGGCTTTTAAACAGAGGCTGGATGGTCATCTGTCAGGGGTGCTTTGAATGCAATTTTCCTGCTTCTTGGCTGGGGGATGGACTAGATAGCCCATGAGGTCTCTTCCAATTCTATGATTCTAACAGTATAAGTGTGAAAGGATCCATAGTGAATGGTCTTTTCAATGGGAAAAAAATAAACCCAGAAACAACTGATGTCTTTATTCTATCTGCTGCATATGCAATTTCCTCAACAGCTTGCTTCTTCCTTTCTATGAAATGTCTGCTGAACAAGTCATTCCCATTTAAAATCACTACAAAAACTAAGTTCACTTTAGGTTATATATTATTGGAGAACGGACTTTTAAGTTATGTGGGAAAGTTACCTGAAATGGAGTACAGCCTCTTAAAGCAGTAACAAAAAGTGGTGAACTATACTTGCAAACAGATACATTTAATATGAACTGTTGATTGATTTCTTGGTTGCTGTAAGTTTTCCAGGCTGTGTGGCCATGCTCCAGGGGTATTCTCTCCTGATGTTTCATCCACATCTATGGCAGGCATCCTCAGAGGTTGACATATCTGTTGGAAACTAGGCAAGTGAGGTTTATATATCTGTGGAATGTCCAGGATGGGAGAAAGAACTCTTGTTTGTTTGAGGCAAGTGTGAATGTTGCAATTGACCAGCTTGAATAGCATTGAATAGCCTTGCTGCTGCAAGGTCTGGCTGCTTCCTGCCTGGGGGAATCCTTTGTTGGGAGCTGATTAGCTGGCCCCTGTTTCTGAGAGTTGTTCTTCATTTACTGTTTTGATTTTATTAATTTTTTAAAAAACTCTAAACTCAAGGCCAGCTAATCACCTCCCAACAAAGGATTCTCCCAGGCAGCAAGCAGCCAGACCTTGAAGCTGCAAGGCCATTCAACCCTAATTAAGATGGCCAAATGCAACATTCACACCTGCCTAAACCAGACAAGAATTCTTTCTCCCACCCTGGACATCCCACAGATAGATAAACCTCACTTGCCTAGTTTACAACAGACCTCATAACCTCTGAGCACACCTGCCACAGATGTGGGTGAAACATCAGGAGAAAATGCTTCTGGAACATGGCCATACGGCCTGGAAAACTCATAGCAACCCACTGTTTCCGGCCATGAAAGCTTTCAACAATAGATTGATTTCTTGCTTATACAAAACCAATATATCAAAACAACTATAAAAAAAGTGTTTCAACTTTGCAAATTTACACCAAAAAATCCAATACCAAAAAGTAATTCCTTTTACCAAGGTAGAATAAAACCATTATCTATCTGCACATTGATGGATCTCTAGTCACTAACTGCCAGAAGACATACACCACAGGAGACCAAAGTACAATACCCTCCTTAAGTGGCCCCAAACTCCAAACACAAACAGCAAAGTGTGGTCACATGCATTTTACAGAAGACTGATGCTGATACTGCCATTCACAAAAAAGGCCCCTTTCTTCCATTCGCTTTCAAGCTGGCTGATTAGCTGGCAAACTGCACTGAAAGGGTCAGTTTGTACAAAACAAGTATTTCCACTTTGGAAACTGCTCAGGCATGTCCTGTACCTGCATCCACAGAACGGATCTCTTTCAGGGCTAAGACTGAATTCATTGTTTATCCTGGAAACTAAGATCATCAAGAAGTTGAAGAGTCAACTGCAAGGACTTGCAACAAACTGGCTGCCTCAAAATATATTTCGAGCATGCAGCACCCAATAAAGTTGCATATAATGACATTATGGGAATGGGTTGCTCACAATTAAAATCAAACCACTTTGAAAGCAGTTTCAAAGGGGACCCCATATTAGCAAACCAAGAAGAATGTGTTTGTGAAATCATCCTTTGTGAAGGATTCCTATATGAAGTTGTGACTTACTGGTGTGGAGCTGACCTGTTTTCCTTCGTGTAAGAGTTTACACGCAGGGTTGTTGTGTGTTTCCCGGGCTGTATGTTCATGTTCCAGAAGAATTCTCTCCTGACATTTGCTTGCATCTATGGCAGATATCCTCAGAGATTGTGAGGTCACCTCTGAGGCTGCCTGCCATAGATGCAGGTGAAACATCAGGAGAGAATGCTTCTGGAACATGGCCATACAGCTTGGAAAACACACAACAACCGAGTGATTCAACCCATGAAAGCCTTTGACAATACAATTTACATGGAATAAGTAAAAGTAGAGGTTTCCCCTTGACATTAAGTCTAATTGTGTCCAAATCTGGAGAGTGGTGCTCATCTCCATTTCTAAGCCAAAGAGCCAGCATTGTCCATAGACACCGCCTATGTCATGTGATCAGCATGACTGCTTGGAGCACTGCTACCTTCCTGCCAAAATGGTACCTATTGATCTACTCGCATTTGCATGTTTTTGAACTGCTAGGTCAGCAGAAGCTGGGGCTAACAGTGAGAGCTCACCCCACTCCCTGGATTCAAACTGCCAACTTTTCAGTCTGCAAGTTCAGCAGCTCAGCGGTTTAACCCACTGCGCCATTGGGGGCTCCCTATACACAATTAAGTGACCTTAAATGCCTTCAAGTTGTGCAAAATATAAGGACTTTTCTATATATTTTTGCCTCGCTTTGTGAAAAGATCTCCAACGGCTCACTGACTTAGCCACAAACTTTTCTAAGTGCATGTTGGGAATTCCTGACCTCTGCCTCTTCATCTAGCTAATGAGTGGGGACAACTTGCAAAGGAAGGTCACCTTTCCTCAGTATCCCTTAGAGCAGTGTTTCTCAACTTTTCTAATGCTGTGATCCCTTAATACAGTTCCACATGTTGTGGTGACTTCCAACCATAATATTATTTTCATTGCTACTGTAATTTTGCTACTGTTCCGAATTATAATGCAAATATCTTATATGTAGGATATATTTTCATTCACTGGACCAAATTTGGCATAAATACCCGATATGCCCTAATTTGAATACTGGTGGGGTTGAGGGGGGGATTGGTTTTGTCATTTGGGAGTTGTAGTTGCTGGGATTTATAGTTCACCTACAATCAAAGAGCATTCTGAACTCCACCAACAATGGAATTGAACCAAACTTGGCACAGACACAGAACTCCCATGACCAACAGAAAATACTGGAAAGGTTTGGTGGGCATTGCCTTTAAGTTTTGGAGTTTTACTTCACCTACATCCAGAGAGCACTGTGGACTCAAACAAGGATGGATCTGGATCAAACTTGGCACGAATACTCAATATGCCCAAATGTGAACACTGGTGGAGTTTGGGGAAAATAGACCTTGACATTTGAGAGTTGTTGCTGCTGGGATTCCTAGTTCACCTACCATATGACCTTGAAGGTGTCTATGGACAATGCTACCCCTTCGGCTTAGAAGATGAGCACCAACCCCCAGAGTTAGACACAACTGGACTTAATGTCAGGGGGAAACTTTTATCTTTACCTTACAATCAAAGAGTATTCTGAACCCCACCAAAAGAAAGAATTGGGGCAAATTTCCAAACAGAACCCCCATGACCAACAGAAAATACAGTGTTTGACGACCCCTCTGATACCCCCTCACAACCCCCCCCCCCAGGGGTCACAACCCCCAGGTTGAGAAACATTGCCTTAGAGTGGGCATTGGCAAACTTAGGACCTCCCTCCAGGTGTTTTGGACTTCAACTCCCACCATTCCCAACAGCCTCGGGCTTCCTTTCCCCCCTCAGCTGCTTAAGCGGCTGAGGGGGAAAAGTAAAAGGCCCGAGGCTGTTGGGAATGGTGGGAGTTGAAGTCCAAAACACCTGGAGGGCCAAAGTTTGCCCAGGGATGCCATGTTATTCTAGGGACCCGGATAGTTCTTGTTCTGGGGACACTGAAGAAACTAGGAACATCTCCCAGCCTGTGTAAAAGTATAACTCAAATGCTAACTGGTCCCTAAACTTCAAGAAGTTTGCCTCAAGTATGGACTTGCAACTCCACGCATGAAGCCTCAACTTGAGTGTTAGGAAGGACGCCTAGAGTATTCAAGGGCTGGGGAAAAGGCACACAGAGAGAAGAGGGAGAGGAGCGACTGGGAGGGGGTCCTGGGCTGGGTTGGGTTACCTGTGGGGGGGAGACCAGCGCGGGCGAGAGGACGGCGGGCGAGTTGGGGCCTGGGTGCCCATTGGCTTCGGGGAGGAGGAGCGGGAGGGGGTCGTGCTTGACGGAGACCACCACCACGGAGGCGGCGTGGTCGAGGGGCTCGTCGGGCCTCAGGCAGCGCCTCTTGGGGGACGAGGAGGGCCCGCAGGCCTCTCCCCCGGCCGCGTAGAGGGCGGCCTCGTGGAGGGGGCGCTTCCCCAGGGCCTCGCCGTCTTTGGGGAGCAGGTAGGAGGCGTTGGTGGTTGGGGGCAGCGGCGAAGGGCGGGCCCGGCCGTTGGGGGCGTAGCTTCCTCCCGCTCCGACTCCTCCGGCCGCGGATAGCGGGGCGGAGGGCAGCTTGGTGCCGATGCCGGCGATGCTGTTGAGGGTGGCGATGGAGACGGCGCCGATGCAGTGGTTGGTGTAGGTCTTGGAGAGCTTGGCGGCCTTGGAGAGCATCTGCATGCGGGTCCCGAGCAGGTTCTTCCCGATGGCCTTGTTCTCGTACCAGGTGGCGTCGGCCTCACCGCAGTGGTCCCGCGGCCGCTGGAAGAAGGCCTTGCAGAGCGGGTTGCGCTTGGCCAGGTACTTGACGAAGCTGGCGTAAGGACAGAACTCCGTGCCGGTCTCGTACATCCGCGGCAGGTTCTCCTCGTCGGTGGCGGCGCCGTGGTGCCCGCCTCCCGCTCCTCCCGCTCCTCCCCCTCCGCCGCCCTCGGCGCGCTTCTTGCTCCAGGCCGAGGAGCGGGACTTGTGGTAGGGCCCCAGGGCCTTGAAGTAGACGAAGCGGCGCCCGTCCTCGTCGAGGGCCAGGCCGAAGGAGTCCTCCTCGAGCTCGCGCTGGTTCTCGCGCCCGCGCGTGCAGAAGTACATGCAGGTCTCGAACCAGACCTTGTTGAGGAGGCCGAAGGGGCTGCGGGCGGAGAAGACGCTGCAGGTGTAGAGCTTGCGGAGGTCGGCGCGCGTGATGGCCTGCTTCTGCACCACGGGCCCGGCGCCCTGCTCCTCCAGCTTGCGGATGACGGCGGCCAGCGTGAGGTTGGCGGCGCGCAGCTCGGGGTCCTTGGTGAGGTCCAGGGTGCGGCAGTAGGGCGGCTCGTTGAGGTAGCGGTTGAGCGAGCTGCGGATGCTGATGAGCGAGGACTTGGAGTAGAGCTGCCCGCTCTTGGAGCGCGCCTCGGCGTAGAAGGAGCGCAGCACGCGGCACAGCTGCCCCTTGTCCAGCGTCTCGAAGTCCGGGCTCTGCGCCTTCTCGCTCAGGTACTCGCGGAAGATGCGCACCGCGTAGCGGGTGGCCAGCCGCGTGTTCTCGCTCAGCCGGGCCCGCTCCGGCCGCGCGGGAAGGAGCAGCTCCGCCTCCGCCTCCCAGTCCTCCGCCGCGGGGCCCGCTTTGCCTCCGGAGGAAGACGAAGAGGACGAGGAGGAGAGAGGAGGAGCGCCCCCGGCCGAAGCCCCGACGCCGCCAAGGCCGCTGCCGCCTGCCCCCCGGACTACTCTGCCCGCCCTGCCTCGGTCCATACGGATCATATGGCCCGGCTCCTCCTCGCCGTCCCATGCCAGCCCCATCATCATCTCCTCCTCCTCTTCTTCTTCTTCCTCCTCCTCCTCATCCAGGAGTAAGATCCCGCCATCCGCTCCCTCCTCCTCCTCCTCTTCGTCCTCCTCGTCCCCCGTTATCTGCACCTCCTGGATCTCGTCCTCGTCCTCCCCGTCCTCGTCCTCTCCGGCGCTGCAATAGTGGAGGGCCCGCTGGGGGCCCCCTCGTCCGGGCTGCCGGTCCCCCGCATTGTTCTCTCCTCCTCCGCCGCCGCCCCCCCGCTCTCCGTGGCTGCCCCACTCTCCTCGGCCGCCTCCGCTGCCAGGCATTCTCGCCATATTGCCGTCTCCCTCCCTGCCTGCCTGCCAGTCCTCGGGCAGGGCGCATGCGCTATATTGGACCGCAGCGCTGGAGAGCTTTTGTGTTTAATGACCTTCAGCTACCGGGAGGCAAAGCTGGGCTCTTAAAGGGGCCGCGCGCTCCCAGCGGCTCGGCGGGAACGGCGTGCGCCAGGGAGCCCCCGCAGAGGGGGAAGAGAGCGGGGACACCGAGGAAGGAAAGAAATCGAGAAAGAGGGAGCAAAGGAGAAGGAACACAACCCAACGGGCACTGCCACTTCGGAGCCTCCCCTGCCCCCCACCCTATCCCTGCGAACACTTCAGGGTTTGATCTCTGCATGCACTCGGGGGAGAAGAGAAAAGAGGAGGCGAAGGGCGAACTTACCCTAAGTGACGCCTGGAGAGCCGCCTGGCAGCCCCCGCAAGCCCTGCCTCATGGCTGACGGGGAAGGGACTCTAGGAGGGGGTATGTTAGGGGTGTAATGATGATGCGAGGGCCCAGGAGGAGGAGGAGGAGGAGGAGAGGGGATGCGGGGCTCAAGAAGGGCTTGGGGGCTGCCTTCAGAAGAGGAGCGGCAGGTGAGGGGAGGGAGGGGGAGAGAGAGAGAGAGAGAAGGGGGAAATGAGAGCGAGAGAGACGGGCGGCTTTTTCTGCGCCAGGCAGCTCCTCCCTTTGAATCCTGGCAGCCAAGCGCGGAAACCGGCAAAAGCCAAGCAGCAGCATCGCAGACTCTTCCTCTCTCCCCCCCCCTCCCTTCCCTCCTTTGCTGAGTTGAGCGCCGGCAGAAGAGAGGCGCAAACTTCAGCTACTCCCTCCCTCTCGTCCCTAGCCATCCCCCCCCCTTTTTTTTTTTTCCAATAGAGATGTGTGTCTGAAGCCACACACTCCCTTAAGTGCCACATTACCAGTCACGGCGAAGGAGGCATCGAGGGGCGAGTCTCTCTCTTTCTCTTGGAAGGGGTCTCTCTCTTCTTCTCCCAACGTGGGGAGGGGGGCTCGAGGGATGCCCGCCGCCGTGCCGCCTTCTGTGGGAAGAAGGGAGCCCCGCTCTTCTCCTGCCTGGCGTTTGGCAGCTGGAGGATGAGGAGGAGGAGGAAGGAGAAGAAGCCGCCTCCAGCAGCAACAGCAGCGAGCGAGAGAGAGAGAGAGGGAGAAGAGAGGAGCGGAGGGCCAGCCCGCCAAGCCCACACGGAGCGTCCGCAGCCCAGAGGCAACGCGGGCGCTCTCTTCCCTGCCTGCGGGGACAGGCAGCTGCAACACACGCGCGCCCACACTCACTCACTCACGCACACACACACACAGCACACAAACACACAGGCGACGCAGCAGCAGCAGCAGCAGCCCGAGCCCTGCAGAGCTAGCCAGCCGCGTCGCCTTCTCTCTCTCTCTCTCTCTCTCTGAATGTCTCTCACACACAAGACATAAACACACTCGCACGCGCGCGCCCCTCTCTTCTTCCCCGCCGGGTCCCTCTGCTCGCCTTTCCCCCCAAACAAAGCCCCGGATCCCTCGGGCAAGGCGGGACTCGGCAAGCCCCACTGCCGCCAGAGAAAACCCTCGAGGGGAGCTGTGAAACCGTCTCCCCCCGCCTCCCCCACTGTACACGCCTCCTTCAGCTCCCCAGGCGACGTTTCCACACATTTGAGCCTCGCTCGCTTCCCGCCTTAAGACTCCCCCCCCCTCTCTCTCACCCCTTCAACTCGCCTCCTTCCTCACTTCACAACAAGCAACAAGCCCCACTTTGGTCGCGCTTTATTTCGAAAGGGAGGGGGGTGTCGATAGGGCACCTGGTGGAGTGCCTTTTGCTAGGGAAGCGAGACACGTGTATGCCTGTCTAGGCGCAAGTGCGGAATAGCAACACTTGTGACTGGAATTCTGTCTCTCCTTCTCTCTCAGGCGCGCTGGGTCTTTGGAGTCTTCCTGGCTCCCCACCCACTTCTCCTCAGAGGAAAGGCACACACTCTTCGCCTTGGCACTGCCAGCCTGACGCCAATGTGTCTTCGCTCCCCTCCCCTCCCTTCGAAGTGAACAAAGGGGCTTTCCTTCACACTCGCCCGTTTTTCTTCTTTTTTTTTGACACTAGAACAAAAGTTTTGGGAAAATCTTGCTCAAGGTAGCAATCCGGACATGTCAAAACCCGCCGAAGTCGCAACACACCAGATATGACTCATAGCTGGAGCCTAGGAGGACACTCGAGGGTTGCCCCGGCCCCTGTCTGAAAGGGGCTGGGAGGGGACCTGGCCACACGGAAGCACACCTTGTGCCTCCCTCACCCACCCCTCCGGCCTCCTTTCTACATCACTCAAAGTGGTCCAGGAAACAAAAGCACAGGCTTGAAGGCTTCTCAAAAACCAGCACACAGGGAGAACACATATCCCCATACCAAAAAAAGGGAAACGCTAAAAAATGTCCAATTTTTCATACAGTGGCCCTTATTTCACATGCCAGTAAGGTAATGCTCAAGATCCTGCAAGGTAGACCCCAGCAATACATGGAGAGAGAGCTGCCAGATGTACAAGCTGGGTTTAGAAAAGGCAGAGGAACAAGAGACCAAATTGCCAATGTCCCTGGATAGTGGAGAAAGGCAGGGAGTTTCAGGAAAGTATCTATTTTTGTTTTATTGACTATTCTAAAGCCTTTGACTATGTGGATCATACTAAATTGTGGCAAGTTCTTGGTGGAATGGGGATACCAAGCCACCTTGTCTCTCTCCTGAAAAATCTGTATAAGGACCAAGTAGCAACAGTAAGAACAGACCAGGGAACAACTGACTGGTTTAAGATTGGGAAAGGCGTATGGCAGGGTTGTATATTCTCACCCAACCTATTCAACTTGTATGCAGAACACATCATGCGACGTGTGGGGCTTGATGAATCCAGGGCTGGAGTTAAAATTGCTGGATGAAACATTAACAACCTTAGATATGCAGATGATACCACTTAGATGGCTGAAAGTGAGCAGGAGCACATAAAAAAATTCCAAGATTATGGCAACCAGACTGATTGATAACTGGCAAATAGAGTGAGAAAGAATTGAAGCAGTTACAGACTTTGTATTTCTAGGTGCAAAGATTATTGCAGATGCAGACTGCAGCCAGGAAATCAGAAGATGTTTACTTCTTGAGAGGAGAGCAATGCCCAATCTTGATAAAATAGTGAAGAGTAGAGACATCATACTGGCAATGAAGGTCCACATAGTTAGAGCAATGGTATTCCCCATAGAAACCTATGGATGCAAGAGTTGGACCATAAGGAAGGCTGAGCGAAGGTAGATGCTTTTGAAATGTGGTGTTGGAGGGTTGGACCGCAAGAAGATAAAACCAGCCCAAACTCTAGGAAATAATGCCCGATGGCCCACTGGAGAGAAGGATATCAGAGGCAAAGATGAAGTACTTTGGCCACATAATGAGAAAACAGGAAAGCTTGGAGAAGATAATGATGCTGGGGAAAATGGAAGGAAAAAAGAAGAGGGGCAGACCAAGGGAAAGATGGATGGATGGTATCCTTGAAGTGACTGGCTTGACCTTGCCGCCTTGCTTAAAGCAAAATCTGTGGGTGGTGATGGTCAACAGGGAGTCCTGGCATGGGCTGGTCCATAAGGTCACAAAGAGTCTGAAGTGACTAAACGAATAAACAACAGGGATAGTCACATGTAAAAGCAATGTTTATCTCTACCTTCTGCCCAAAACACCAAAGCATCCCAAGAAATCAAATTTAATAGGAAAAAGAGAAGAACTAGCACACCAGTCCTTATGAGCCCAATGCATCATCATCATCATCACCACCATCACCATCACCACCACCACACCAGTTAAACCTTCACCAGATGGATAGGAAACAAAGTAACCTCTGCTGGAGAGCTGGCATGCACAAAGGGACATATTTCCATTTATAGTGGGAATGTCCCCAGTTGAAGAGTTTTTGGAACAACTTATTTATGGAACGACATAATATTATAGGACTAAACATCATCCTGGATGCTAGCATTACTAATGGATGTCACAACGTTGAATTTAGAAATGGAAAAGAAAGAATTGGTGATTATTTTACTCACAGTGGTGAGACTTATAATTGCAAGGAATTGGAAGATAATAACCAATCTCACGCTGGAAACATGGTATGGGGAGGTATGGAATTTCACCATAAATGATGATCAATAGAAATAAATATCAATACAAATGAGGGTGTTTGGATTTTGATTCGTACTCGTTGGTTTTTATTAAATATGTTTTGGAGAGTGAAAAAGGAAAACTACAACTTTGTTGGATATGACATTTGTTAACTGGTTGATTCATAAATTTATGGCAAAGGAAAAGCCCACTATGTGATTCAGATATGTGGATCACACCTTCACCATTTGGAGCCATGGAGATGAAGAACTAAACTGGTCCTGGACCAACAACATCTACCCAAACATCCAATTCACCATGGAAAAAGAAAATGAAGGAAAACGTTCATTTCTAAATATCCTAGTCATTCACAAACCAAATCAACAATTGGGTCACACAGTTTACAGAAAACTTACACACATGGATAGATACCTACATAAAAACTCCAACCACCACCCAAGTCAAAAAAAGAAGCCCCATTAAAGCCCTGGCAGACTGTGCAAAAAGAATCTGCAAACCCACCTCCTCCAAGATGAACTGAACCACCTAAACTGGGCTTTACAGGCCAATGGATATTCCACCTCAGACATCAGAAGAGCTGCAAGTCCAAGAACAAGCCACAAGACTAGAGACAAAGGTCCACCCAGAGGGAAAGTGTACTTGCTATGCATCAAGGGAAACACAACCTAAAAATTATCTACAAACCCACTAAGAAAATCCAACAAATGCTACATTCAGCAAAGGACAAGAGGGATCCTCTCACCTCTGTAGAAGTCTACCATATACCATGCAGCTGTGGACCAAATGCAACATTGCCCAAATATGAATCAAGGAACATGAAATGCACTGCAGACTAATTTAACCCAAGAAGTCTGCCATAGCAGAGCACCTGATGAACCAACCTGAACCCAGCATATTATTTGAGAACACAGAAATGCTGGACTACATGTCAGACTACACAGAGAAGCCATTGAAATCCACAAGCATGTGGACAATTTCAACAGACAGGAGAAAACAATGAAAATGAAAAAAATCTAAAATCTGTCTACCACTATTTAAAAAAAACTTTAAAATCAAGACATCAAATAAAGAGCAATACTCAAAAAGCAGGGGCATTTCAGACAAGATTCAGTCAGGGCCAGCTAACACCTCCCAACAAAGGATTCCCCCAGGCAGGAAACAGCCAGACTTTGAAGTTGCAAGGACATTAAATACTAATCAAGGT